GGGAACATTCTTGTTAAGGGGTTGTAGCTAATAAACCTTGCTGGATTGATTCTGCATGGTCTCTTGGAGTTCCTTGGGCTAGGCCTGACAGTTAGGACTTCTTTCAGTTGCTGAAACAAAGTTTTGAATGGCACCGGAACAACAGAAAAAAATGTCTAGGTTCTCTGTGTTCTTTTTACTTTCTGCCTCCCTCTCCCTCAGTCATACCTCTAGGGGTAGAAAATGGGAAGAAAAGTGATAGTTGTTAATCCATGGAAGTGCCAGCCCGAATTGGGCCAACAGGAAGTGATGGCCTCCTAGACTCCTTTGCAGCGCTACTATACAAGAATTTGAAAAAAGTCCAGGAGGGTAAGTCTATTGTCAAGGCTGACTTAGGGCAGATCTGCACTTTTTCTTGGACCCATCACCAGAATAGGCCACTCACTACTTCCTGAGTGCAAGAATGGATACTGTTGCACTCCTCCCATATCCAGCACATTGCAAATGCACTCTGTGCCTTCATTTTCCAGGTTTGATTCATAATTGCTGTTTTCCAACCTGAGGGGTCTTAAGCCCTTCAGAACAGATGGCCTCCAATGCTTCAATCTTTTCTAGTAGCAGCCCCATCTCTAAGTGGCTTCAGGCTCTGGCATTTCCCCTTCCCTTCAGTGGCTGGTCACTGTTATGTTCTCTGTGTTTTTAAAACAATCTTGCAGTTGATCCAGTGATGGTCTTTTAAGTTAATAAACCATCATCAACCCTAGACATATATGCCATCTTCAACCCTTACATCTCCCACTGGGCACCCTTTTGGTTTCTGCCCAGGTTGGTTAAGTCTAAATTGGCTTAAGAAAATTCTGTCTGGATGGAGACACTTTGGCAACAGCTTGCAAGGTATTCAGTCCAGATTGCAGGCGACCATATCCTCCCATTGGACAATTCTCCCGCTGCTGGTTCTTTCAATCTTACCTTCCTCTGTAGATCCACCTTTCTATTCCAGGAACGCAATGGGCAATCACTTTTCTACCTGTGAGTGGGTTTTCCTGGATGCGTACACATGCATGTATGTGTACACACATGCACATATAAAATATATATATGTACCAAATAACATTTCATTTATATATACAAAGTGACAGCATCAAAATGCACATATGTGCAGGAACAAGAACCAGCTTTAAAATAAAATAAAGATTCCATTCTTGCCAGCTACTTTGCACTCTAATAACTTCTACTCTTTCTGCTTTATCATTGGTGCTAAAATAACCGTATCTAAGAGCTGGGCCTAAAATGCAAAAGAAAATCCTTTTTATTTCCAGAAATTGGAAAGACAATGAAATGGTGGGACTCTGTGCTAAGTTTTTCGAAAAGCCCTCAACTAGGAAGAGCTAGTTAGCTAGCAAAAGGAAGGAAGATAGTAACGAAAACACCACATAGACATTTCTCCTGAGTTTTGATGCAGTGACCTCTTGCATAAGCGGTAATACACTTAGTCATTGTACTGTTTTAATACAAATGGTAAATAGGGACTTAGAGAAGGGCATCTATTGTCTTAATTGCAGGGCTGTTCCTTCCTCTGTGAAATAGCAATGAACTCCTAGGGTAAGCCTAGGAGGAAGTAAAGTACTCCAGCTGAAATGGAGAAGCGCCCTTGAGGAAAAGACTACTTTCAAACCACAAAGAGAAAATGTACGGGGGGTTAGATTTGCAGTGGGAAGGAAGTTAAGAAACAATGACATTGTCACTTTCTGTCCTCAAAACGTGGTCACTGTCCAGTTCTAGCAACAGAGCAACTAGTCACACTCTACCCTTAACTTGGCACAACCTATCAGGTTCTGTTTCTGAGGCTCCTAAGTGCCACTGTCACTCTTGCTATTAGGTGCTCTGACCCTCCACTCCAGTGTTTCTCAACCTTGGCAACTTTAAGACACGTGGACTTCAACTCTCAGAATTCCCTGGCTGGGGAATTCTGGAAGTTGAAGTCCACATGTCTTAAAGTTGCCAAGATTGAGAAACACTACTCCACTCCAAGTGTGTCAGGTACCACTGTCAGTTGTCAAGCTCTGCTCTTGGTTTCTGGAGATCACTTGGCAACCTAGAGTTAAAGAAAGCTGAAATACACTTGAAATGCCACTGTTTTCTTTGGAGATTTGATGGAGGACTAATTGTTGTGCTAGCTGTTTGTAGAAATATATTGCTTTCATTCGATGATGGTAGCACACTTGTGAAAGTAGAAATGATTACATAGACCTCATGAATTCTGAGGGATCTCTCACCCAAAGCAATCCCCTCCCAACCTTTTATCGCTCATGGAAGTGGAGGATTTATAACAGTGAAAATGTAAGCATTATAAAATAAATGATTACTTCTGTGCTCTCTCAGAGCAGCATCTGCCTATAAGGGACCTCCAGGTCGTACCTGCAGAAGTTTTAAATTGCTGGTTCTTTGTCAACATCCTCAAGAAGTCATTGAATTTTGCCTGTCCAGCTTCTGCAAGTTGCATTGGGGAAGAAAGAGAAGCAATTATAACAGATTGTGAAATCCCTCCCTCCAATACTTTGTTATCTACTACTGAAAGTAAGAGGAAAAATTATAACTCATATTGACCAAAATCAAAACAAAACCTACACAAGAAACAGCTTTCAAAAATGCTCAAAAAGTCAGACAGAGCTTTTCATTTAACCTCCCCCTTTCCAGGAATAGTTCTTGCTTTATATTACTTGTCCCTCATAAATAACTTTTTTTCCCTGAAATACCATGGCAAAATACATCTTCCAATTACCTAAAAATGTGCTTTCTGTGCCTAACACCCTTCTGACATTCCCACAACACGCTAGCCCCCCTCTCCATTAACCCAATTAAGCATGTTGTCGATATAGGCCTGGCGTATCTACAGTCTATTCTTAAACCACTGGGCATGCATTGACATTTCCAGACAAAAACGAAGAGACACTTTCACCAGAAAAATTCTAAATATTTGGAGCAAAATTGTTCCAAAAAAGGAACTAGAGATTATAACATTTAGTAGTGTATAGAAAAATCATCTTGCAGAAACAACTTCTACCCTCTTTCAGCATAGCCATTAAAATGCTATGGCAACTACCTCCCTTCTTGCAGCCTGGCCCCTTACCTGTTACATTTGCTGACTTTAGTACTTGGCCAATCACCTGGTTAGCCAATGGCAGGTCTACAGTTTGGAGGCTTTCTGTTGCAGGTTTCAATTGTCCTGCTTGGTGTTCCTTGATAAACTTGAGAGCTAGGATGCTGTCAAGCACAGCTAGAGAGGCAAAGATCAGCAACGTCATTTACAGCTGTGCAGAGGAGCAAAGGTTCTCCTTCTGAGAGGGCACTGGAGCCCACAGGCTTTGATCCACCTGACCCTATAGGAAATTATGGATAATTCTGAATCTTGAGGGGGAGGGATTCTTTCTCTCAAGGACTGTGGTAACTCCAGGGAACTCTCCCAGGGCTGCATTCCAGCAGTGGGCTGGGTCAGAGCACAAAATGGGTGCGGGAGGGGGATGAGAATCCATTCTTCTTCACACTCATGTGCATGACATTCACAGACACCATCCATTCAGGTTAAAGGCCCATCTTTGAAGTAGGTGTATAGGATATGTTCATTAAAGCCAAGCTGCCTTTTGCTAACCCATGCGTAGGAAGCAAAATGGGGCTGAGTGGTTCTGATATTGGAATAGGCATGCTGTTTCCTTTTCCCTTTCCTCCCAATAAGCCCAAGAGCCATGCCATGTGGTTATACTGTACTTCTCTGACCAAGGCATTTGACCACCAGTGAACCATTGGATTAAATACTCTCTCTCTCTCTCTCTGTGCTCTTTTTGATGTGCCTTTTTTTTTCATGTGAGTGGGGTTATTATATATCGTTGGGTGCCTGGAGTTACACTGCATGTTGTGAGAGTTTGATTTTTGTAATCCTTGTATGCCACCCAGAGTCACTTGTGTGAGATGGGTGGCTATATAAATCATATAAATGACTGACTGACTGACTGACTGACTGACTGACTGACTGACTGAATATTGTCAGCTGATGTGGAAAAGTTGCATATAAGTCCCACAGAAAAGAGCTTACACAGAGTCACCTACATAGCATGTTCCTAAAACTTTACCAGCGTAATTTTGTAACCGTCTAGTTTCCTTCACAGCTGATACCAATTCCTTGACATCCACAATCTCATCAGCTACCAAAGGAGAAAAAAGAAAAAAAAAAGAAAAAGAAACCATTAAATGTTATCAGACCAACCAAATGTGCTATTGATATTGTTGCAGCATCATGAGATCTTGGACAATAACATCACATAAAACGGCAGATTGTCTGCTGTACGAACTACAGTCAGGAAATCAGCTCAGAAATACAGAAAAGACAGAAGTGTAAAACTATTTATGTTTTATTTTCACCAGAAATAGCTTCAGAAAGAAAGAGTTAGATGATCACACATATCCTTGGCCAGCTCTTTCTAGCAAAGGGTAAGCGATCAAACGAAGGAAAAATGAAAGTAGGGAGTTACAATCTGCTAAAAAAAGAGCAGGGTACACCCTAGGGCATTGGTGTGATAGCCTATTTACAAGGAAGACCTCAAGTTTATTTGCTTATTTATTTCCATTTCTATGCCACTCAATTCCCATGGTGTTAAAGTTTCAGTACTACCAAATGGTCACATGGGGGGCAGAACAGACAGAATCATAATGCTTCAGAGAGAAAAGTTTATGTTCTTGGTTGCTCACTATTCCTCAAAGGCTCTTAGGAAGAAGAGCAACACAGTTTTGAACAGCCAGACTTTTCCAGTGTTATTTTCTACAGATATCCTGAGTTTTGATGCCCATGTTCCCCATGCCAGCTGGCACCTTAGTAACTTTGAATTTTCTTCTAGATTGTTCTGAATCTCTTGGGGCTAGAGCAAAGGCCATAAAGCTTTTTTGGTTGGTGGACATTTTTGGAATTCTGAGAGCCGGATGCAGGCGCTCTCACCAAATTGGTGGAGGCTGCTTTGCCATTCAGAAAAAGGCCATTGTGTGTATGGCTAGTCCCAAAACACCCATATAGGAGTAGGCAAATTGGGGAGGTTTCTGCCCACCAGCTTCCTTAGCACTGCAGGGTGTTCTCCATCACCCCAGTTTATGTTGGCCTTTCTTCCAAGGAGATAAGCTAGGCAAACTGGGTTTTAGTCATCCACTATTTTTATTTTCTAAGAATGCCTATAGGGCCTAAATCAAAGGTGGTTGTTTTTTTTTTTGTTTCTTTGTTGGTTTTACAAAAAAGATAAGGCTAGGGGCAATTGTTTTGGATTTCAATAGGTTGGAAAATTTCTCCCCTCCCCCCCCCACTCCCCCCCCCCCTCTCTCTGTAAGGAGTCTGGCAGACCAAGAAGGTATTTGTAGCCCATTAGCACCTTTGGGAGCTGCTCAAAATTCCAGTGCTAGAGAAAGGCCCCAACATGTACATGAAATCCATCATGCCTAAGCTCAGTTGATCAAATCAGCTGATCCATAACTATTTTCCCATGTATTCCAACAGCAACTTTTGAAAGGATTATTTCAACCCCAGTTCCCCTGGTGGATCCTTGCCAAACTCCTTCTGAGCAAGATATTTTTGGTCCATCACATTTCCCAAAACAGAGCAAGAACAAAATTCTCACCAGAAGCTGACAAGGTTTCAGTGGCCTGCATTAATTCTGACTTGGTTAAATGAACTCCAATATTACTGAGGCAGCTCTCCACTTCAGAAACATTCAACGTCTTATCCTTGAACTGGTTAATAATCTTAATGGTATCGTTCAGAACTATGGAGACAGCAGAGAGAGAAATGAGATTAGATTTCGTCAAAAATTTTGCTTTTCCATCACTGGCTTACTGTACTTTTCCCATGACATTGGCTCCTGTCACTGTGTATTTTGGACCCACTAAAATTAAACATTTATATCCAACAATTCATATTCCACACTATGAAAAATGGAATTCTATAACTGTGGAGAGCCACAGAGATGACCTTGGAGGAACCATGCAGCAACATTTACAAAAATGTATCTTAAGTTTGGGAAACTGCAAAAACATTGAAAGAATCTCAGACAGGCTCCTTGACTCCTGGGGGTATAAGAGGGAGGGAAGGATAAACACAGTCAGGCTTTCAAGGTTCTGTTACTATGGTCTATATCAACAAAGTACAGTTTCAGTCATTTTTGAAGAGTCTGTTTCCTGACCTGGCCTATCTCAAAGGGCTGACAATAACCTATAAGATGTATGCAGCCAAACATGTTTGTATCATACATGACATAAAATAATGTTTGCATGAAAATTATTTTCATAATCTGTCCTAGATTACTTGTGCCTAACACAACTCATTATAGTCTTTCCTGGTTTATTTATGCTTAGAATAGTTTATCAAGATTCAATTGTCAAGAATCCCACTTCCAACTTTGGAAACCATCTTGCACCCTCCTGGCTAGATTTCAAAGAAATCTATGCATTAGATTCAAAAGCAAAACTTATGTTCAAATTCCATGCTGATAATAATCATGGAGTGAAAGTTCTGCAAAAGCTTCATCCAAGATCAGAAGTGCAAATGGACATCAGGCTTTATATTGAACTTAAATTGTCAAGATTGACAGAGGCACAATTTGGAGGAAGGGATGATATTTATAGCAACTTCCAGAGAAACGGTGGTCCTCACATTCACCCAAACTTTCAGAAACAGGATCAAGCAAGATAACCTTGTTAACAGACTCAGAACCTGAGAGTGACCACTAAAGTATGACAACCCCCAACCACCATCACTTGACTTGTGTTCCTTATCTTTTAGCACAAAATGTATGACTTCCAGAGGCAGTGTGATCCAAAAGCCTACCAATGGTGACTTTTAGTGACCATGTAGATAGGCCTTCTCCAGGATGATCTGTCCCAACTTGGCCCTTTTGGTCTTGCACTGGTGCCCCTATCACCAATGTAGTAGATTTCATCCATCTTACTAGTGGTCATTCTCTTCTTCTCTTTCCTTCCATCTTTTGCAGTATTATAGTCTTCTTGAGAGAATTGGTAGAAATAGAAACCACTGTCCTTCAGTGAAAACCTGGCTTTCCCCCCAGATATTGGGATCAGGATGTTGATGAAGCTGGCATGGGGTGGTTGATGGATGAATGTGAGTTATATTGGAGCCTCAACACAATTTATTGTTTTACATGGTCTTTTTAGTGTATTGTGTTTTTATTTAGTTCACTGCCCAGAGTTCCTTCTGGGCAGCTATATAAGTTAGTTTAATAAATAAAAAAGTGGATTACAATGGTGATATGGGCACTTAATACCAATTTTTTCTTTGCTATTTCCATCAAAGTCTGTCCCTGCCCTGCTTTGACTCACTCACCTTTAATTTCTGAAAAGCATTGCATTTTGGAAATCTTCTCTATGACTTGCCCAATATCAACTTTTCCTTCTCCTGCAAAATGAATTGAGTTAGTCAGCAGCTGCCTAAGATTTTCCCTTATATATGATGGAAGAATAATAAAATTCCCACAGTGGAGGAATGGATTGTGAAAATGTCAGAACTTGCAGAAATGACAAAACTGACCTGTTTGGTCAAAGAACAAACAACAAGAATTTTTGGAAAGATTGGAAATTTTATATGGACTTTTTGCTGAAAGAAGAAAAAAATTAATTGATATTAATGGATTTGAAGATTAAGAAAGATGCGGACTAAAGAAGCGGGTGGGGGGATTTGTAAAATATTTAAGAGGGAGGAGGGACAATATGAATGTAATTATCTGTTGAAAAGAAGGTTGGAAGTCATTGTCACTTATGTATTTCTTAACTTTAGTTCCCCCCCCCTTTTTTCCTTTTGGTTTGTCTTTTATCATATGAAAACTCTTAATAAATATAAACAAACAAACAAACACTTTCCCTTATATATCTGGATTATAGAAGGTTACCCTGATTACGTGTTATCAAATTAGTGTCCAGTGGCATCCACAAGTGAGAGTCAAGGTGGGTTAAGTAACAAAAGCATCATCTTGGCATTGTAATGTGGCCCCTGCCCCTTTTCTATATATGTTGCAATGTCACATGGCCCAAAGGGGCCGAGCTTGCAACACAATGCCACAGTACTGCTTTTTTATTACATTATTTTAAAATGTACATTTCACATTTCTATCCCACCATAGTCCAAAGACTCTCAGCAGCTTAGATGAACTATATAGCAAAAGCAGCAAGCATCTATGGACCACTGAGTCTAGCCTACAGCCCTCAAATCTTCTGGTGATCTGCCATCCTAATTTTAATTAAGTCCAACCTTTTAAAACTTTTTAGGATGAGCCAAAAAGAGTCAACACTACTGGAATGTTAAAAAAATCCAGAAAACAGTGGTAAACCGTTTCTGTATGTTGACCGAAAACTACATGGAAGTGTCCATGGAATCACGAAGAGATGCTTGACTTGAAGGAGTCCTTACCTTAAGAAAGATGCTTTCTGTAGGTATCCCTCTCAGTGAGAGGCTGAGAAGAATGCACCCAGCAGTACTTACTGTCAGCTGGAATCTTCTGAATTAGGTCCTCATACTCATGTGGGTATAAATGAATGCCCATCTTCCGGAGGGTGATTCTGAGGTCCTTCAGAGAAACTTTGTTCTCCTCAATATTGCTGATTGCTTGAATGATATCTTTCAGCACTGAGGGGTAAAGCAAAGTTACATTTTGTTTTAGGGGGTTATCAATAAGTATATCTACTGTATTTTTTTTGGGATGAACCATTATAAACTGACTTCAAGACCCTCCATATAATGAGTTGAAATACTTATATAATTCAGCATTTCCTGATTTGCATGCAGGAGCAAATTGGTTTGGAATAGGAGAACTGCATTTATCTGAAAGGAAATGGACCTGAATTTAAGAGGACCCATCCTCAAAATAATAGCTAGTATGATAAGCAGGATAGAAAGAATAAGACTCCTGAGAATACTTTGGATAGCCAGGAAAACAAACAAATGGACCATCAAACAAATCAACCCAGAGTTCTCACTTGAGATACAAATGACAAGGCTCAAATGATCCTACTTCGGATACATTTTGCAAAAATCTAACTGTGGAGTCCTTGGGGTTCTCTGAGCTTGGTTTGTTTTCTTGCAAATGTTTCGTTACCCTGCTAGAGTGGAGTTTGCTCTCTGTTTATCTAACTCTCTGGAGAAGGCTGTAATGCTGGGAAAAGTGGAAGGAAAGAGAACAAGAGGACAACCAACAGCAAGGTGGAAGGACTCAGTTATAGTAGCGATAAGTGCACCATTGGAAGACCTGAAAGACCAGGTTAGGAACAGATCATCATGGAAAAAAGCTATCTATGTGGTTGCTAATCATATTGCCCAAGACCAGTTTAGTGATTTCCCAAGGGCAGGAAACCTAGTGTAGTCCTCTACCCATTCCCAGCTCCTATTTTCCTACTGCATGTCAAAAGTAGTATTTTCCCATTTGTGCTATACAAGTGGTATTTGGTTTGCACTTCATTTCAAATACCTCCACTCTAACTGGCTACTATGTGCTATGGCAGCAAGACTCATTCCCTTCTGGTCACTGATCATTGCCATCCATGGCAATTTTGTCCTGGGCTGCCAAACTATCTTTCTGGTTCTGAAGGGACCTTGACTGGTAAACTTTCTTTCTTTCTTTCTTTCTTTCTTTCTTTCTTTCTTTCTTTCTTTCTTTCTTTCTTTCTTTCTTTCTTTCTTTCTTTCTTTCTTTTTTGTATCACTAGTAGACTAATGGAATGCAGCAGTTTTTTTTTAATGGTTTACTGGGCTTTTTTTTCTTTTTCTTTTCACAAGTTCACTGATGGAAGCAGACAGGTACACTTTTCTTCTTTTAAAAAAAAAAATTAAGTGAAATTGACCAGAATTCTGCCAGTTTCCTTTTCCACCCAGAATGATAGGAAGAATGGTAAAACTCTAGTGTTTTCTTTCCTTTTCAAAATACCAGACCGTTGGCAGATGCACCAAGTGGTAAGGCGTCAAATACAAGGGATAGTTAACACAGGCAGGCCCATACAATGGAAGTACATGTCCTCAAAGACCTACCCACAGGGGAAAGCGGGGAAAAAAGTCATTGATACTTGCTTTCTAGGCATGGTGGGAAGTGTAATGAAAATAGGGGTATCCACTAGTTGAGGACCTGTTCTGTTTTCAAGATAATTTGCATTGCCAACACATCCATCTTAAATAGTTTGCATCTTGTCCATTACCCTCACTGCGTGATGCATTAGAATCACTGATAATTAAGATCCCTCAAAGGAGAAACAGGGTGATATTGCAGGGAGGCAACCGATCAGTATCCACTCTTCTTGCTTCTAACTTCCCAATCACTGATTCTTATCCCCACTTCACCAGGAGCTTCCTGCACTCTGTGGTTTAACAAATAGCCTGCCTGCCATCCATTAAAAAGAAAAAGATGAAATATTTCTGGCACCCCTCCTCTCAGGCCATGCATTGGTTAATTTGTATATCAGTATATTTGTCCAGTGGTAAAACATTCTTCCTGAGATGGCCAGTTGCAACCAAAATTTTACTGCTGATATTAAAAAAAACATGAGGAGGATAAAATATCTTCGGTCCTCCACGACCAAGTAGCAGTAAGCCCTGTGAAACTTATTACCCCAGCAAATCTAGAACTACAAGAAGGCTTGGGGAAGTGGTGGTTGGGATGACAAGAGGTGGCTTCAGAACAGTTTCATACATAGCACAGCAGAGAAGCTGGATCCACCTTTCAGAGCATGGCTACTGGAAGTAAGCAAAGGGAACAGATTCATACTCAAAATCAACCTGAATTCTTTTCTCCTCACTCCATACTGTTTATAAAAATATTGAGAAACTTGGTGGCAGGTCAACATTGCTAGCGAAATGTCTTATGGCAACAAATCCTGAGAGTGTTGCAAGACTGATGACTTTCTGGCTGACATTAACTGCACTTGTGGACTTTTCAGCAAGATTGGATGCAAAGAACATGAACAACTAGGAATTGGCAGACACTCATCCAATGAGAAAGCAAACTATACAGATTTTGCTTATATGTGATGATATATCTGAAGAACATGCACAACTGTAGGGGAAGAGGGAAGGAGAGGAACCTGCTTTTGCCAGACTTGCAAATATCTCTCTTTTTTCAGAGGTTAGAAATGGATCAGTAGTGGCTTTACTAGCAGCATCTTGTGAATGTAGGGCCCATGCAGTGTGAGATATTTATTAAAATGATTGTGTAGGAAAGCTCAAGGTTTCAGCTGTATCCCTGTATCCCTCTCTTCCCCTACTCCAACTTACCTGACAATTCTTTAAACTGGGGACTGTGGGTAAGAATTTCAATGAAGTCTTTCACAATTATCTTTCCATTACCTGCAAGTCAAGAGTAGGATAGATGATAGACAGATAGAGGCACAGACAGATGACAGCTAAATAAATAGATAGGGTATACCTTTGAAAACAAAGGACAAGGAGAAGTGGAGCCAATGGAAGAAATATACACTTTCTACAGCTGAGATCTCTAGTATACAATTTGGAGAAAAGACTTTTCTTGGGCCAAGTCAGAGCAGGATACTTTGCCAATGTAATAGATTGTCAATGCAATAATAAACAGACAAATCAAAAAGCCAATGAATGTTTCTCTGTGGCATTTTTCAATGTCTGCAGACTTTAGAAGGGCACCACACATCAAAGGAACATCTTTATCATGTGAATTTCCCCAAGCACTACCAGATCTTTTCTCTAACAGCCTAAAAAGCAAACATTTGGGGTATGATCTGTCTGCATAATCATAAGTGTCCTTAGCTGGGCTTTGTTGTCTTTTATTATATCTGGATCAGTGGGGGCGGAGGAGTGCAGAGGAGAGCTGGAATGCACTTAGTACTTTTACCATGGCAGTTGATTTTTGGGGATAAGAAATGAAACTGAGCATACAAAGTTGTGAAAAAAGTTGATGGGGCAGTGAAACCATAAACCTTAAAAAAAGGACTACCTTTCAGGAATGGAGAGGTTTTGGACAAGTATGAACTTTTGAAGCAACTATCCTAGAAATAGATAATGGTACTGGGGAAAAACTGGTGTTTTTTTCCCCAATTATTAACAAAACATGTAACGGAAAAGCCCTTGATCATTATTATTAGGCGTGGGTTGAGGGCTACTTGCTGGGATACACACATTTGGGATTAATGAAGCACCATGTCACTGTCACTGTAGCAGCTTGTGTAGAACAGTTCAATGATTCCCTGTTAAGGGAGTCCTCACTTAACTTGCCTTGTTTAGTGACTGTTCGAAGTTATGACAGTGCTGAAAAGGTAACTTTATGACTGTTCCTCTCATTTATGACTGCCACAGCATCCCCACAGTCATGTGCTTGAAACTTGGGCATTTATGACTGTCGCAGTGTCCTGCAGTCATGTGATCACCATTTGTGTGCTTCGCAGCCAGCTTCCAACAAGCAGAATCAATGGAGAAGCCAGCAGTAAAATCACAAGTCATGGTTACATGATGTCTCACTTAACGACCATGGTGGAAGTGAGGTCGTAAGTCCATTGCAGTCATGTGAGATCTTGCTTAATGACTGTGTCTCTAATTGTGGTTGTTAAATGAGGACTACCTGTATAATGTTTGCTGGGATTCTAGTGATATGGATGAGAAATATTTTATTTTGCACTCACCATCAACAAAGACCTGTTCTAGGGCTTCCTGGAAATCATTTTCATTTAGATGCATACCCATATTTCTAATAAAGGAAGGGAGATCATGCAGGACCATCTTGTCTCCTTCAATCCTGTCGAGGGCTTGAATGATGTATTTCAAACCTGCAAAGTTGCAAACATGTTCAACTGTAGTCAGGTTGCTGCTACCAAACATGCAGAACAGCCAGAAACATTAATGGAAATTCAAGAGGGCATAAAAAATTGATAAAAGTCTTTCAGTTTTTCTGGCTAAGAATCAGAGGAGCAATTTTGGGGGGCTGGAGGGGGGCAGTTCAGCAGTTTATGTTGCCTTGTTTCCATCAAATTGCAGAATTCAGTTTGTCACATTCAAGCTCAGCTGAAATTCCCAGTCCATTTCCAACCCTTTCTAATGATGAGAGAGAAAATCTCTGAGATTTTCTTCTTCTCTCAAGGAGTGCCCTTTGTAGAAATTTCTGCAAATATTCCCTTTTTTCCTTTGGTGGCAGCTGCCACTGTCTCCTACCCCCATGCCTGCTCTGAGGGTACAAAGAAATAACCTTAAAAATTAATCTTACAAAAGACCAACATTAGCCAGACACAGAGACAGACCGACAGATTTGCTGCTGCTAATGATGATCACCACTGAGAAATTGTTGGAAAGCCTTCCTGGAAGAAATGTGGGTAAAACATTCCCTCCTCACAATTTGTGGAATTTTAAAGGCATATAGCCCTAGTCCTTTCAATATGATGACAAATTGTGCATTATCTTGTCATTTGATCTAAAAATATTTGTCCTGGAAATTCTTTTCTTCTCTCATCTTAACTGAGCTTTTTAATGTGGTGGGGTGTTCTATCTCTTTGAGTTGAAACAGATATCTCTTCTGATTTTAAGATCAAGAGCAACATATAAATTATTTGATGACATGGGAACAGGGTGTCAGTGGGGTGGATCGAAACAGTCAAGAAGCTGCAACCACTCACAGCCTCTCCCCTTTAGGTGTGTCACATGCATGGAGTACTTAAAAAAGGATCACGGCTTCAATCACATAGTCATGGCCACCATCTTGATTTTTGTGATGCTGCCCTGTGGATGCGCTGCACAGGAATATAACTCTACTGGCCTGGTTTTGGTTTAAGCTAGTACAAAAATTAGGATTGAGGAGAAAATCTACCATACCCTTTCTCAGCCTTGCAGACAGTGTTTTGGTCTACTCACTTGCAAATTCATTGAAGAGATGTGTTCTCCCCATTGCAGATATGAAGCTGTTGAAGTTCACTGTCCCGTCTTCTGCAATGGCAAGTTGCAAACACATGTTACAAGTGCTCATTTACTGGGATTTATACTGCTGATCCTTGGGAGAAGGTTGAAGCAAATGTGGACCCTCAAGCTGTTACTAGATTCTAAACTGCATAAACCCAAGCCAACGTGAAAACAAGTCAGAAACCATGGGAACTGGAGTCCAATATTATCTGGAGAGGCACAGATTCCTAACTCCACTTTAGGGTTCAGGAATACTTATAGTTGCACACAAAAATTTAGCCCCCCTCCCAGTCAAATTGTATGTGTCAATGAATCTGGAAGTAAACTGACACAGCCTGTGTATGGTGCAGTGTTAAATGCAACATCTTTCTGAATATGTGAATGCATGCTTACCATCTAAGGGCAGTTGTTTACAGATTCAGAATAAGAAAAGAGTGTTCACCCTTTTGGTTAGTAGTTTGTAGCAACTCCTTTGGCAGAAATTACAGCTTCCAATTAATTTTCTGTAGTTTTTCTATTTTTGCTTTGGATTGTTTTCCACTGTTCCTTGCAGAACTCTTCTAGCTGAGAAATATTCTTAAGTCTCCATGTATATGTTTGAGATATCTCCAGAGATTTTCAATAATATACAAGTCTGGGAACTGAAAAGATCATCCCTAAACCATTATCTTTTTTTTCATGTAAGTACTTCATGGTTATTTGAGTATGTTTCAGACCACTGTTTTGCTGAAATAACCAGTCTTTTCCCAGCTTCAGTTTCTTCAGACAGTAGATATTAACTTCTAGGATATGCTGATATTTAGTTGAATCCATTATTTTTTCCACCTGCATAATATTTCTTGTGCCACTGACTTCTGACAACCCCAAAGTGTAAGAAAACCATTTCATATTTAACAGTTGTCAAAGTATCCCTTTTCTGCAAATGCTTCACTCTTTTTTCTCCAAATGTATCTGGTGTAGTTGTGGCCAAATAGTTCAGTTTTTGCTTCATCATTCCAAAACACTTTGTTTCAAAACATTTCAGGCTTATAAAGGTTTTCTTTTGCATGTCTTAGACTATGACTTTTGCAATCAGGTTGGCAAAAAGGTTTCTTTCTAATGTCTCCCATGCAGATCATTATTGTATAAGCAATACTATATTGTGGAGCCGTGGATACCTCCTTCAATGTCACCTAAATTTTTCAGTGGGTCATTTACAGTGATCCATGGGTCCTGTTTTGCAGATATGACAGTTCGGAGATAAAATTCTAGCAGAGAATTTCTTGGTCTTTCAGATGGAGCCTTGACTTCAATAGTTTCAGGTAACTTCAGTTTCTTAACCATTTTATTAAAGTAGCGATTGCTAGCTGGAAGCTTGTAGAAATTTCTTTAGCTTTCTCCTGCTTTGTGAGAGTGAACTATCACCATTTTCAAATGCTCAGAAAACTGCTTAGAGCAGCCATGGTTGTTGAAAGTAGACAGAACAACAATCACAACCTAAGAGATTAGAAGGACAGAGTATTTGTTTACCTATAGAATGGCTTCACCTGTCTAAATATAGGCCTGTTTGGGGGTCACATTAACAACTTTACAGTAAAAAAAAACTAGAATTAACTGGGTGTAATGGTGTGTTCTGATCTGAGAGACAGTCCCATTGTGGACACCTTCCTGGATATTCCTCTCTAGTTAAAAGAACAGCCTTTCCACAAGTTCACATATAAGCCATGGTTAAGAGGTTGAGACAATTCCTGCCTCAGTAAGTTGGACATAATATGACTCCTGAAACTGCAAACGAGCCAGTTGTTGAAACTCCTCTAACAGAACATATTTCTCCTTTCAATAAATCTGGTTAAAGAAACCTGTGCAAGAATCTTGCTTTTGGATGTAATTGGCTATCAAGACACTAGGAGCCCAAACTTCTTTATCTGCTGTATTCTCTGTTTTCTTATTTTAAACCTGTAAACAACTGCACATGAATAATAAGAATGTGTTCAGAACTGCAGAAAGATATGGTATTTAACTTTGTAACTTGCAGGAGTTACATCTGTCAATTTCTTTTCATTTAGGGATTCATTGAAGTATAGTTTGAGCAGGGATGCTTAACTTTTGTATGCAATTGTATTTATGTCTTCTGATTTGTCAGCATGTGTGCAAAGTACGATTTTGTTACAACGAATGCATCAAATGCTAATGGACCATTAAGGATGTGCATAAGACGAAAGCTCTTAGACAGGAGACTCTAGTCTATGTGGGAGGTACGTATGTCTGTGCAGAAACTGTGCTGTTTTAGTAGAGTTACCCAACACTTCACATGGTGTAACCTGGAAATAATCCAAGTTCTGGAAATAAAGTGAACTAAGTAATTAAAAGTCAATTAAGGGCTCCAGAGCATAGAAAACCAATGTTCATCACATTATGAACTGTTAAAACCAAACGTGCTTGGACATACAATGCACACAATGAAAAATCATGTTGATAAGCACAAACACATAAAACCAAAACACTGAGATTATAAGGCTTAACTGTTGGGCAGTGGCATATAAACCACTTGGTCTTGGTTTATCTTTTATGGAGGGTAGTACTGCTCAGTAGTACAGCATGTATTTCGCATGTAGAAGGTCTCAGGTTCAATTCCCGCCATCTCAATATCTTTGCTGGGTTAGGTGAGGATCAGTAGTCTGACGTGGTATAAGGCACCTTCTGGTCCTTCTAATCTTGGGCTTGATCAGAATGAACTCTAGATAGAAGCACCATCATAAACCTAGCCTATCAGCCCCCTGGCTAAGATACAGCCCCAAAAGAACTGGAGAGGCTTACTTGCCACATCTGCCTTGAGTAGCATTTCCTGGAATACCGTGTCACTCATACTGACTCCCATTTTGTTCAGGGTGGAGCACAGATCGTGACTTTTGATGCTATCTTCCGCAAGCATTTGGATGACATCAAAGATATTCTGTAAGGCTGAAAAGAGACTCCAGTTTGGGGCAAATTACATGTTACATAGAGATGTGTGTTGAAACAACCTGAAGTTTCTGATGTATCATGTCAACCTTCTTGTATTTGTACCTTCTATGTCTAGTATTTGGAAGCTGAACTTTAGAGAGAGAGAAAGGAATGGAGGGTGAGTGGGTTGGGTAGATGATGCAGCCAGCTAACTAACTAGACAATGTTGATGTCAGCTACATTAGTAAAACAGACTTAAAAAAAAATAAAGACATGGATTATTCTTACAGTCATTCCAGCAGAAGGCAGCCAGAAACAAATTGAACTGCAATGGCCCAGGCTGACCAGATTGTATGGAACTTCATTGTTGCTAACTATCCTTGTTCCTGCTTCTTCAACAATAGCCTGATGTGCAGAAATGAAGCAGATTAGGCATTCCTCTTCACTTGACATCATCTGGTAGGTTTTGCCCTTACACTGCTATTTCAAAGCAAAGGAGCATAAATGAAAAAGGTGAGAAGCCATGGCTGGCATGCTGCAAATTGCACCCAGGTCAGCTTTTTTCAGGCTGCTACAATCAACGCCTCATGGGGAATTGGGATGACCATGCAAAAAGTCATCAGGTCTCATTTTCTACATGGCATAGTAGCAGCTGACCTTTATGTAATCTACTGAACTTGGGTCAGTGTGGGAAAATAAGTATCAAAGACTCACTGGAAACAGTGACCGTCATGCATCAAATTCAGAAATCAGAAATGGTGGCTTTTTCAACTAGTGCCCAATCCCCCCCACATGTCTTTTCATAGGACATGATGACAATCTCCAGGACATTCATTCATTCATTCATTCATTCATTCATTCATTCATTCATTCATTCATTCATT